CGGCGGCGGGGGCACGGGGCTGCGGCTGCTGTCGGCCAACGTGCGCCAGCTGCACCAGGCGCTGACGGCGCTGCTGAGCGAGGCGGAGCGGGAGCAGTTCACGCACTGCCTGAACGCCTACCACGCGCGCCGCAACGTCTTCGACCTGGTGCGCACCCTGCGCGTGCTGCTGGACAGCCCGGTCAAGCGGCGCCTGCTGCCCATGCTGCGCCTGGTCATCCCGCGCTCCGACCAGCTGCTCTTCGACCAGTACACGGCCGAGGGCCTCTACCTGCCCGCCACCACCCCCTACCGGCAGCCCGCCTGGGGCGGCCCCGACGGCGCGGGGCCCGGGGAGGTGCGCCTGGTGAGCCTGCGGCGCGCCAAGGCCCACGAGGGCTTGGGCTTCAGCATCCGCGGGGGCTCGGAGCATGGCGTGGGCATCTATGTGTCGCTGGTGGAGCCAGGCTCTCTGGCCGAGAAGGAAGGGCTGCGAGTCGGGGACCAGATTCTGCGTGTCAACGACAAATCCCTGGCCCGGGTGACCCACGCTGAGGCTGTCAAGGTAAGGATGTGGTTTGGGGACAGGACAGAGTGACAGGAGCTCTGCCGGTGTGCGTCCTTAAAGCAAATTTACCTAATCTTTCTGGGCTCCATTTTTCTTAAAAAATGTTTCTTTAAAACAGGAACATCTAGTTTTGTTTTAGCAAATAGATGCCAGGCACTGTGGATAAGGTGGTGGGCAAAACAGACTTGGACCCTGCATAAAGGCTAGCAGCGTGTGGGAGACAGACATCAAATACACCGGCAAATGTATGACTGCAAAGTGTGAAAAGGCGTAGGGATTCTTATGAGCATTAAAAAAACAAAGGGAAAGGTCCCCTCTTGGCATATGGTTAGTAATCAGTGGGTGGTCTCGCTTCTGCTGTTGCTGTTCTCATTGTTCAGTCGGGTTTTGCCCCTGAAAGAAAGTTTTGTTAGCACCAACGTGGCCCAAGGAGGCTATTCTGGTGATCCACAAAGCTCTAACCTGACTCTGCTGTTTATGTACCTGGCTGTGTATCCTGGGACCAGACGCTTTTCCTCTCCAAACCTCTGGATCTCCACTAGGAAAATGGGGCAACTGGACCTGCTAAGTGTCCCTAACCTTGTTGGAAAGGAGGCCCCTGCCTGAATGTCAGAAATAAACCCTCCACCCCCTTGAGAGTAGCTGCACTTTTTGCATCTGTTAATTGAGAAAAATAACCTCATGACAGCAATCTCCTAGGGATTTAATCAAGCTGTTTAAAGCAGTTTCGTGTTTGCTAATCTCACACCTAGGGCTGTTGAAAACCAGTTGGAGTTTGAGATGGATAGTGTTTGGTATACATGTGGATTCGAGAATCCCTTGAAGGTGTTTACACACACACACACACACACACACACGCACACACCACCTTTGCCCACCTTTGAACAGGAAGTGGAGAAATTTGAGGAAAAAACAGTGACCTACTCAGCTTGTGGGCGGGGTGGGGCAGGGGAATGCTTCCTAGAGGTTTAGGGTGCCCTGTGACCCAGCTTCTCACCACCACACCTTTTGTCCCTGCCTTGGGTCCTCCCCAGCTCAGGTGATTGGAACACCGGTTAAGGGCCTGCTGGGCTACTTCCGTGTCCTCTTCAGTGACCCGTGGTCAGGTGTGTATTGAGCCCATTTCCTGACTGTTCACTTAGGGCACAACCATCTCCTCCCTGACTCTCGCTTTCCTTGTTTGGTTGCCAACTCTTCTGCCCCCTGCCCCTTGAGGATTTCAGACACTTCTCTGCTGTTTCTGGGAAAAGCCCGATGGGTTTATATTGTTGGGGGGGGGTGTAGCAGACAATGGTTCTGGATTTCCATGCACCTGCCCTCCTCTCTGTCTCCTCCCCCCACATCAGTCTTTCCCCCTTCTCTGACATTCCATATATTTATAAAGAAATAGCCCATTAGCCTTTGGCCCTAAAAGGTCTGGAGTTCCCAGATGATAAATTTATACTGAAAAGATACTTGATCCAAATGGTCGATTATAATTGTGGATTCAATTTTAGTGGCAATTTTAAAAGACTTGTGTAATTCTGTCATCACAAGGTGACAGACTTTGGAAAGGCCTCCGGTAACCTGGACATTAAAAGCACAGGCCCTCCTGTCGGTCTGCATCCCAGTGTCAGGCATGTCCAAAGGCTGGAGCTGCCTGGCTCTGAGCTTCGGCTCGGCCCTCCTGTATTTCATGGGAGTCGCTCTGCATGTCGTGTCTGCACCCTTCCTGACTTACACCTCAGTCCCGTTACTCTGTGACTTGGGGCGGGCCTTAGCTCATCTAGTAAAACCTAAACTCTCCATGGTGTGGTTTTTGAGCACCCAAAGGAGCAGAACTGCCTTCGGATGTGTGTGGGAGCCCTGTGAGCTGAGCAGCCACCCGGGTCCCTGACTGTCACTTTCCCTATGGAGGGGTCGGCTAAGGCCAAATGAGCTCCTGCCTTGGGGTGCCCCTTTTCTGGCCAACGCCAGACACAACCTGCCCGGAACACACCCCTTTGTAACCTTCAGAAGCAACAGGCAAAATGAATACGGCTTTGTGTCACCTTAACTCCAGGGGGAAAGGGGACCAGACTTTCCGTGTGGGTGGAATTTAAAACGGAGGAGGCGGAACCTGGCTCTGTGGTTGCAGGATGGGCAGGCGGTTTCAGGACACTTTAGAAGAACCCCTGGGGTCTATTGACACATCTCCACAAAATTAAGGGCATTAAGTCCCTGAACTGAGAGCCAAAAGAGGCCCCAGCTTCTCCACTAGTTACAAACTGCCCGAAACCAGGATTTTTCTCCACTTTCAGCCCCTCTTTATGAGCTTCAGTGCCGGAGGGCACCGTGTCAGGGATTTTTATGGTGTAGGTACATTCCTTTTAACTGAACTTCAGGCTTTAGTCAAATATCACCAGTTTTTCTGCATTTTCTGTACCATATACCACACTGCATTTAGTACAAGACCTGTTTTATTTCTTCTTCAATGTTATTTTATTTGTTCATTTATTCATTTGTTATTTCCTCCCCCAGCTTTCTGGAAGTAGAACTGGCAAATGAAAATTGTATATAATTAAGGTGTACAATGTGATGATTTGTGATACATGGTAAGAGGATTACCACAATCAAGCTAATTATCCATCACCTCACAGAGTTATTTTATTTTTGTGGTAAGAACATTTAGGATGTACTCTTTTAGCAAATTTCAAGCAGACAATATAGAATTATCAATTACTCATTTTATAACTGGAAGTCTGTACCCTTTGACCAATATTTTCCCATTTCCTTCCCCGCCCCAGCCTCTGACAACCACTGTTCAGCTCTTTGCTTCTGTGAATTAGACTATTTTAGATTCCACATATAAGTGAGATCATCCAACATTTGTTTTTATGGGTCTGGCTTATTTCACTTAGTATAATGTCCTCCAGGTTGATCCATGTTGTCACAAAGGGCAGAATTGCCTTCTTTTTTTTGTGGCCGAATAATATTCCTCTGTGTGTGTGTGTGTGTGTGTGTATATACTTTTTTCTGTTCATCTGTCAATATACACTTAGGTTGTTTCTGTGTTTTGGCTCCTGAGATGTGTTTTCAATCTTAAAACCTTTATTTTTCTCCTGCAGGTAGAAAGAGGGGGAAAAGATCCTCTGAGCATCCTGAAGGAGAGATACTGTGTGTGTGTTGTGTGTTTTGTGTGTGTGTATAATAAAAAGAAGATTAAATTTTAGGAATCAAGTTACTTAAGAGTTCATGAATCAGCGAGGGTCACCTCCTCCCAGGGAACAGAGGAGAGATTGAACATACAAAGTTTTTTCCACTTCTCTCTCTCACAAATCAAGTATCCATTGTTGCTCAGAGTGTTTCAGCAAGGATTCTGTTCCTCTCTCCAGGGGGCTCCCATTCCTCTCTTGAAGCCTATTTGCTAAATCATCAGTGACAGGTCCAGATAAGGCAAGCCATTTACTATTTGCAATTATGTTGAAATGTTTGATTTTTGAAAAATCTATCTTGAATGAACGGGAGCCAAACTAATAATAATAAAAAAGTAGACCTTTCAGAGGTTTTCAGCCAAAAAGCGTTGGTAAATTAGCCAAGGGGCCCACAGACCAGGGATGCTGCACTGGGCTCTGCCACATGCTTGCTTTGTGACCATGGGGCCAGTCACTGACCCTCTCTATGTCCTAGGGTGGATGGGCCAGTGGCTGCCCAGGGTCCCTTCCGGGCTCAGACAATCTGCGATTTGCTCAGCATGTGCTACACAGAAGGCGTTTAGAATGTCTAATCCAGTGTTTTCTTGTTCTTTTGGAATTGATTTCATTTAAGGCAGAGTTAAGAAAGTTGGCTAAGGATTGGGAGATGAGAATCTTGGCACTCTTGTGTAGCCTCCTACTAATTCAGGAAATTGACGGGTTACACACTGTACTGATGAGAACTTGCCTGCTCTCCCTCGACCCAAGAACACCAACCCCGGTGTTGTTCCAGAGTAAATGAGAAGATGACCATAGGATTGTGGTGTGTACAGCATTGCCCTGGGAGCTCTCAAAACCACGTTCACTTTCCGGCTTGCCCTCCGAGTCCCCAATTCTGCGGGTAGCAGGGTACGGGGTAGCCGGGTGCTGCCGGGATGTGTGTGTGGATGTTTGTGTTTCATCTCGATAAAAATGAAATGGCTTCATTACCATCTCAGCATCCCCCCACCCCGGGGTACCTCCAAGGGGCATATTAGAATTTGAAACGTTCCAGAAGATACAAACAGCGGCCGGCCCTTTCATTTAATTAGAGTCATCACACCCTCCCTTTCTCTGCATAATAACCCGCAAAAAATCTGTCCATGTTAACATAAATCACTGTGTTTAGTCCAGCACATTCTAAACAACACATTTGTCATTTTCCCATTGTACATGGTTAGCTGAAGCCATTATAAATTATTACCACTTCCACCTTTGTATCTGAAATGCAGCTTCTCCCATTGGTGTGATTACTGTTTTCCAATTTGGAAACCGTGGGTAATGTGTTCATGGGGACGCGCACACTTTCTTCTGGCCCCGTCCTCTTTCTTGGGTCCTGCGGGTCTTGCCAGCAATGACATGTTGAAAGCTCACTATTAATAAACTCTTTATTGAATAGATGTTTGCTTGCTGGATCCAGAGTCTGATGCAGTGCATTGAGAGGGTCCATTTCTTTAATTTAATCTTACTTATTTATGTGGCCCAAGCTGATACTCAAGGTTTTAGACAATGACAGTGCCCAGGGTAGGACAAAAATCTTCTTGGAACTGGTTATTTCCTCTTCAAATGAAGGAAGCATTTTGTAGGCTGGAAGAGAATGCCCTTATTTTTGGGGGGGGGAGGGAATGATATTATTATTAGAAGATCCCTGCCTCTTGGCTTTCAGCTGGACACGAAAGAGATAGAGAATTACCCTGGCGCTAGCTTCTTGGTTTGCTGTCACCTTCCTCTTGCCACAAACCTGGCGTTGTTTATTACCTGCCATAGATTCATCATCTGGATGGGGCTGCAAAGATAAGTATGATC